TCCAAGGAATGACCTAGACAGCTGTTAAAAAGTAGTAGTTACATACTTACCAAGAGGGAAATACATTTGCGATACAGTGTAAAAGGGGACAAGTGAGTTATTAGAAGAGTGTGCATGAGACCAGCAGAGTTCATGGAAAAGGAACAAAAGCAGCTGTGTTAGGATGCTAAAGAGCCTCACTGGTCGACAGTGGTACAATCGGATGGAGATGCTGAAGAGCCACACAGGATAACGGTGTTACAATCGGATGGGGATGCTGAAGAGCCACACAGGATAACAGTGTTACAATCGGATGGAGATGCTGAAGAAGCCACACTGGTTAACAGTGGTTACAATCAGACGGTGGAACAATAGGTGATTTCTTTTTGTTCCTTTTATCTTTAGTTTCATTTTTTTAAAAAAGAATTATCTATTACTTATATTCCGAAAAAAGCATTTAAAAAGAAAAAAATGACTCATGAAATAATTTGCTTATCCAATCCATACTTAGCATTAAATTCTTGTGGAGATGTAAGAAACGACTTCTGCTGTCACGTCATGAGACACTGCACAACGGAACGACAGTCAGGCTTTCCTATCAAAAGTGTTACAGGATGGAGAGACATCAATGAGTCCCCAACAATTCTGAGGCATAGTCCTGCTGATCTCCTGACACAGTGGACAAACCTGTACTCTGCTGTGGTCCATGTGGGCCTCTGCAGGGGTCCCTGCAGCCCAGAGGCCACTTGGAAACAAGTGCTACACTGTCAGAGAGAACTGTACAATTTCACACAACACTGAAGCCCCACAGTCTCATAAGAGGATTCCAGAACATTCACCATCACTATCAGAAATATTCAGGCTCCTCCTGGTTATGGAGTTACAGTCGAATTCCTCCTAATTGTGTCTCTGGCTTTCCCTAATGCTCTCTCCCCCAATGCCCGCACCCACACCCACACACACACACACACACCCATGAACATTTCATACAGCTCAAAAATTCCTACCAAAGTCACCTTCTTGCCAGGCTTGTTTTTAAAGGGGGATTTATATTCTTTAGAAAGGTGTAAGAAAAAGACACATAAACAACTCACATTTCTATTTAGGGATCCACCTCCATGCCGTCACACCCACTGTCCCCAGAATATAGTCTATTTCTTTGGGGGGGGGGGAAAGCCATGTACTCAGAAGTCATGGTCTATTTAAATCAAGCCTATCATTCAAGATGTGTATGGACATTGAATTGAAAGCTTCTGGTTAATGTCGCAAATGCTTCAAAATCCAGTGATGTTCCGAAGAATCAACCGAGTGTAACGTCTAGTGACCCTCGTCAGCTATCAGCAAAGAGCAGTGGTTGGTGCTCCCTGAAGGGCAGCTGGAGCTCCTATCAGACTGCCCTGTTTCCAAGCATGCACCTGGCTACACGTGAGTCTAAGTTGGGTCTCATTCACAGTTGCCCCTGGTGTCTGCAGAAGAGGAGTCTTGTCTATAGAAAGAGCCCCTGCAAAATGGGCTAGCTCAAGATGCTTCTGGGCTGCATGTGAGCCATCACACACATCAAATCCAGTACATGTACCTGCCCATCACGCTGCTTAAGGCTGTGGCTGTGGACCAGGCAGGCTGGAGAGCAGCTCCCCCCTGTGGACAGCCTGTCATGCATACAAACTGTTCTACACACTGGATGAGTCTACACCTCCCCAGCTGTGGCTCATCTGAACCAGCCATCTCTGGGCCTGTCCCTGTTTATGTCTCTGCCATCGGTGGCCTTTCCCCCTCCTCTTTAAAAAGACAAGTGTACCTCCATTGAAGCCATCAGCAAAGAATTCAAAGCCAGACAGTGTTCCACCAAACTGGTCCCTCTAAGCACAGAGACCATTGAAGAGATTCCTACAGAGCAGAATCATTTGGACCTTATTATGTATGGTGAGCAATTCTGCCTCATCCCTGTCGGCTGCACTTTGCTGTGGACACACACTGAAATTAATATAGTTACAACATGCTTTATTTTTTATCTTTTTTTTTTTTTTTTTTTTTCGAGACAGGGTTTCTCTGTATGGCCCTGGCTGTCCTGGAACTCACTCTGTAGAGCAGGCTGGCCTCCAACTCAGAAATCCACCTGCCTCTGCCTCCCAAGTGCTGGGATTAAAGGTGTGTGCCACCACTGCCCAGCTCAACATGTTTTCAATATGGCAGAGGATTATTTCTTCTTGGTATCTAAGGGACACCAAAGGAAGAGTGACACTATGGCTCATAGGAGAACAGTGAGTGGATCAAAGTCTAGGAGACCCCAGAGCCCACACTACTGGTCACAGCTGGGTTACTCTGGGCATGCTACTCTGCCTCCACTTCCTGTTGATAACCTCTGCCAAGTTCTCTCATCCAATTAAGGTCTAAAATGACAGCTCTTGGGGAGATGCAACGGAAGGAGATGATCAGAGGCATAGCACGGGCCGTTTCTTCTCTCCCAATCCTTCCCTCCGGTGGTCTCTAGGCACCAGAAGCATGGCCTCTGCCCCACCCCAGACCATGTCAGAAATGCATGAGGATCACGCCTAAAGGGTTCTGAGGTTTTCTTGGCCTCCTTTAGGATCCATGTGGATGGCTGCAGAAGGCAAGCTAAGCAAGGTGCAGACTGCTAGTCTGGGAGATGCCAAGGCCAGATCTCACCTGACACCAGGCTCTGCAGGCAGCACTCGGTGGCCATAACTGTTGGGAGGAAAACAGCTCACACCCATCTGCACAGGGTTTGAGGCCACAACAACAGTCTTAAGACTTGACTAGACGTCATAAAAAATGGAGGTATGTTCACCAGTGTGAGTGGATACGGAACAATATCAGTGGGTCGTTTGTTCCATACAGAGTCTGCCCTTTACAATGCCAGAGGCTGCAGACAGGGTCAGCCTATTGTTGACCTTCCAGGCTCTTCCTGGGCCATGACTGTTCTTAAAAAGAAAGCAAATGAAGAATCATGAGGTCTTTAGAGGAAGCAGAGGAAAGGGAGGTTCACTGCTTGTTTCAGGCTTTAGCTGAAACAAGGAGCCCAAATCACTCTTCAGAGGAGTCTGTAGTCTCTTAGGCTCAGGGGTCCTGGCAGTTTACGGGCTGCTTGAGTCTAAAAGAACAAAAACTCTACTTACCCCACCTACTGGCTACGTGAAGCTTGCCAAACCCTCCAGTGGCTAACAACAGGGATCATGGATCTCAACCTTACAGCCAGCCCACTGAGCTAGTAACTTCTAGAACTTTTTATACTTCCTTCTTTTTTTTTTTTTTTTTTTTGAGACAGGGTTTCTCTGTGTAGTCCTGGCTCTCCTGGAACTCACTCTGTAGACCAGGCTGGCCTCGAACTCAGAAATCCACCTGCCTCTGCCTCCCAAGTGCTGCGATTAAAGGTGTGTGCCACCACTGCTCTGCTGTACACTTCCAATTCAGTAGCTTTAGCAAGTGTCCTCATATGATCATGTCACTAGGTCATATACTCCAGCCAGCCAAGAGAGGTCCTTCTACAAGATTATGTCTCCTGCAGATAGAGGCTCATCTGAAGCCTGAGCTGAGGGTTCCCGTGTCCACTGCTCTTGGGAGCCATGAGCCCAGGCTGCTGGCAGACAAAGGGGCCAGGATGGCCTAAGAAGAGCTCCCCTTAGTCCATGCTGGGTCACGGCTAACCCAGTCTATGTTCTCTTGGTGCACCAGTAGCAGCTGCTACTGACTGGAGAAGTACTGGGAACGGTGAGGGAGGGCAGGACTGGCAGCACTCTGGGCTGAATTACATCCGAAGTGCCCACTCTGTTGCATAAAACATCCCAACTTGATGATGTCACCTCTTAACACACACCAGCCTTCCATATCGCCAGCCCTCCTTCCTTTCTTATCCCAATTGAGGTCCTTGCTCAGAGTGACTCATCAGCCACTGCAAGGGAAGATGAGGACTCGGAAGTCACCTGGGTCTCAAATATGCTGACCCTGGCCCCTTCCTCAGGCTCTCTTCTTATTCAAGAGGAAGAATTTCTGATCCCAAGTGGACACATCTGGAGGGTTCTTAGAGAGGTAGAGAACCAATGTTTTCCTTGCCCAGGGCATTTAGAAGTGTTGGGGGTCGGGCCTAACACATTTTGCCTCCTGTGTGCTGTTTCTCCTAAGGAGGAATGCCTGCCTGTGAACCTGGATGTCCAATGGCCCCACTAAGAAGCTCTCCGTGAGCAGAGAGATTTTTGGCTGCAGGCCCTTCCTTAGCGAGAACTGGGAAAGGAAAGGCAGACCTGGGAGGAGCATCTTTGTCACTAAGGCTAAGGGCTGCCACCCGAGGGGCTCTCACCCTCATGGGCTGTAGGATGGCTTTGCTATTGTTCAAATCTATTACGGGGAGCCCAGCCTATCTTCTAAGCCCAGGTTAGCTCTTATGCCATGTTCTCCCAGTATCCAGAAAGCCTCTGACTACAGGCCCTCTGCCTAGAAGAGAAGGTGGCCCCAAAAGCAATGTCCTCCAGAGGGATCGTGGCTGGGGTCCCTTCAAGAGGGCCTCAGAGTAGCCTATAATAATTAATTACCTTGCCTCAGTGCCAAATCTAGGTTTGAGTACAGTAAACTGCATTCATTTCTGATAATTACTTCAGCACGACAAAGATGATGTGTTGTTCAACAAAGGGTCTGAACTCTGTTGTGGGGTTTGATTAAAACACTAAATTCTGTTTATATGTTTAATTGAACGAGTGTTTATTAAGCACCTATTATGTGCCCAGACTGTGCTAGACACCCTCCCTGCATTCTGTTCCCACAGCTTAGGCATCTGCTCTGAAATTAAAAAACAAAAACAAACAAAACAAAAAAGGACATTGTTGCAATCATAACAAATCAGGGGAGGATGGGTCATAGTAGGTACAAGTAATACCCTGTCAATCTGCACACCCCAAAACTTCTGGTTTATCTTCCCTCTGGATAAGTATCCACTAAGTGACTCCTTTCAGGTAGGTATGTCTGACCTACAGCCCAAAGGCCACGTGCAGCCAAGGGTAACTGTGAACGTGCTCCAACCCAAAATTGTATATTTACTTAAAACACTAAGGTGTTTTTTTTTTTTTTGGACAATTATTTCTTTTGGGGTAAGTCAATTGTGCAGGTTTTGAGTGTGAACTCTGTGGATGACGATGTCATATCACAACTTCAAAAGGTTAGCTACATCTGCTAAAGCAACAAAATGCATACTGGGAAAAGATGCTCCCTCCATGTGCCCGTCATACTGAATCTGCTGGGGAGTTACACACACTGAGTGTGCATAGCCGAAGGCCCCCAAAGGCCTGTTGTAAAGGATAATGAAACTTGGATTAGAAAATACTTCCCCGCCCCCATCCCCAGTTCATAGGGTTGCAACAGCCCTTAAGGGAAGATCTAAACATCCCGGCCCTGACTGCGTAAACGGCTAAGGTAGACCAAGTTCTGGATTCCTGAGTCAGAAGCTTCCAGTTGTCCACGACCTCACAAAGCCAGAGAAGCAAGAGATTTCCTATTCTGGAGGAGTGAGTGGACGGCACAACTGGTCTGGAGACAGAAACGCACCTGCATTTACAGAAGCAAATGGAGAATGTCCTACGCCTACTTCACCTCTCACACACACTGGCGATCGGCTCGCCGTCTAGGCTCCGCCCCGCCCTAGTTATCTGTGCCTAACTTGGAGAGTCCCCGGCGGAAGTCATGGAGGTCGTCGATCTTTCCATCCAGCACCTCGAGGAAGTTCTTCAACTCCCCCTTCAGGTGGCGCTGCCGGTATTTACTCTCCTCGATGTCTGTCTTTAGAGACCGCACTTTGTCTTCCAAGTTTTGATTGTCTCTTTCTGCCGCCTGATGAGACAAAAAGGGAAGGGTCTAGAAGGCCGTGACTGAGGGAGCCTGACCAAACGCTTACCACTCAAGTCAGAAAGGAGACCATCTGGTGGTTTTCCTAAAGAATGATTAGAAGGCCTGGATACCCTCAAGCAGCAACCAGAAATGCAGAATGCAGAGTCCTGCTCAAGGGGGCTTCACAGAGGTTCCAATAGAGAACCAGACATCAGAGGCCCTGTCCTTTCATTTGTATCCTACCAAAGCCAGAACAGATGGACAGTGAACGTGGCTTGCTTTCTTAACTTCTAGCTGACCTCTCGTCCTTTGTGAGGGAGGACTTTTAATGCCGTGGAAGAGCTTTTGTTCTGTGGTACTAAACTAGGACTTTCTTGAACACGTGCCCGGAAACTGGTTATCAATGCAGTCCTGGGGTTGTGTAATTCAATAAAGTGCTCCTTGTGTAGGTCAAGAGGACTGGAGTGAAGAAACCACTGGGGGAGAAGAAAACCCCTCGTGTTGTAGATCCGGGAGCTGATGGTAGTGAGAAAGGTCAGTGTAGGGTCAGTACCCAAAGGCAAGAGCTGCGAAGAGGCCAAGGTGGATTTGTACCGACCCCGCCCACACACATGGACCACTCCCACGCCATTCCTTACTGGCTGTGGTTCACCCGGGCCACTCCCACGCCCTTCCTTACTGGCTATGGTTCACCCGGGCCACTCCCACACCCCTCCTTACTGGCTGTAGTTCACCCGGGCCACTCCCACACCCCTCCTTACTGGCTGTAGTTCACCTGGGCCACTCCCATACCCTTCCTTACTGGCTGTAGTTCACCCAGGCCACTCCCATGCCCTTCCTTACTGGCTATGGTTCACCTGGGCCACTCCCACACCCTTCCTTACTGGCTGTGGTTCACCCGGGCCACTCCCACGCCCTTC